TACTTTTTCTTAATTTTTATCAAAACCTCAGGAGAAACATTTTTTACAGGAGTCACTGCAGAGGTCAGGAAGTCTGTAGGAAGGATAGGTGTCCTGTGGAAATGATCCTAGAGGAACGCCCGTATGCGTGAGACTTGGGCACCTTGACTGCAGGGCAATCACCGGTGTCACAGCGACTGCTGCAGGTGCCTTGCCTTTCCCCTATGCTTTATTTTTTTCTCTCAGATCAAGAGTTCCTGCTGGAGCACGAGGCCTCAGAACTGGCCAAAGCTTCTACGGGGGACCAGGAGGCTGATGAAGACTGCTGATAGAGATAAGAAACTACTTGTGCTTAAGTGGAACTAAGTAAGGGGACTGACACATAACTAGAGTGATTTGTCCTAGCAGGTTTACAAGGAAAACAGTGTTTTTCCAATATGAACCAGATGCTTGTCATGCAGAGGCTTGCAGGGCCACCTGTACCTAAGCAGTTGTATCTGTAATAATTCTGCAAAGACCAAGACTGCCATGGTAGAGGCATCAGAACAGCATCTTTGGGTATGGATGTAGCATTACTTGGACCAGTGAGGAAAAAGTAGTTTAAGGCAGGTTTCTTCTTTGAGGGGATTTTAGGTAGATGAAGGGAGGCACAAGGGCAGTGAAAAGGTTGTTCCAGATATAGGGAAAAAATGGGGCCATTACAGAATTAACGGGACTTCTGCTCCAACAGTATAAGTGTAGATGCCCACAGACAGTATTGAAGCTGACCTGCATGTCCAGGCCCACCAGGCATCAGTCAGGCACTTTGGATAACCCACTGGACTCTCCACCAGGTCCATGTCCAGAAAACTTGAGGTAGAAGAATAAGGAAGCATAGAAATGCACCCTAGTACTATGTGGTATGGAGGGGAAGGGATAATGAAATTGAGAGTATGTCAGTCATAAGATTTGTGATAATAGCTTTGTAACAGCTCTGTAATAAAGTGCAAAATTGTGTTGTTGTAAATTAGTAACACTAGTGTGTCTATTACTTAGTTAGAATATTAGTTGATTTATCAGTTGGTAATGTTTTACTTAATCAATAAAAATTGTACTCTCCTAAATAAGTTATGTCTCAAGCTTACAGATGAAAAAGGTAGGGTTGGATTTATTAGGTAACGGTGGCTTTTGGCCAAAAGAGTAGATAAGGAACCATTGCAACATATTCCCACTAGAGACTGCTGAAGAGATCTGGTTTTTACAGATTTTATCAGGGAGCATTTTGCAGGATCTGATGAGTATGAATGCTGGTAAGAGATAGAAAAAGGGACACTGTGAAGGCCAGAAAGTAGGCAGTGCTTGGGCCAAGAGGAGTTCTTGAACGTAAGAGAGGGAGGGTGTAAAAGCTGATACAGAACAAAAGAACAGCAAGATGTAAGACAGTACTTATCAGTGAACAAAGGAAGATGGTAGAATATGCAGTTGGCTAAGAAAGGGACCAAAAAACTGATGTTCAGGAAAAGCATATGCAGGTGAGAAAAACCGAAGGGTGTAGGAGATGGACAGGAAAACAACAGAGGAAGGATGGGAAGGAAACTGCAAGGAGATGAATAGAGATCAAGGTAATGTAAAGGAGTATTGAAATTTTATTCATTCATACTTAAGCAGCTAAGAAACTTGAAACCATACATTGAAATGTTTTTCCAAAGGAAGTGTTAAAATTAAGTAAATTTGACATCTGACACCTGGTGTTTTGTTTGAGGTAGGACAAGACTGATGTTTTCTCTTTTTCAAAATGTCAGGGCTAGAACCTTCTGACTCGGTGTGTCATGTTGCAGGAAAGTGTGCTCTCTTCAGCCTTTAACCTTACACAATGATCCTTTCGGGGCAGTGCATCTCTCAGGTGTGGGCAGTCACACTTGTGAGCTGTGTTCAGATACAAGTAGATAAAATGCCAGGTCTTTTAGTGCTCAGCTTGAGCTGTCTGAGTGAAGCTTCATGACTGTAAAGTTGGATTTATATTAGGTTTGTTTTGGTGTGAAAAAACAGTCAGCCAGAGTACAGTTTCATTTAAATTAGTGTAAAGCTAGAATAACAATGATATTCTATGTTGTTTTTCTGGTTTTCCATTGGTGTAACTGAGGTGTGAATTTGTCCCTCTTTTTGGAAATTAATAAGGACAATGACAGAATGTCAACTAATGGAAAGTATTTAAAGCATAAAGGGAGTATTAAACAAGAGGGCAATAAAAGTGCTTTTCTTCTGATCTCAGGACAAGTTCAGTTCCACTCCAGCACAAAGCTACATTTAGAGCAATCAAATACAAGCCTGTTAGTGTCTGGAGTGTTATAGCGGCTTTTGAAGGCTTCTTAATTTCCATTTTATGGACAGTGCCACAACAAGGATCAAAGCAATTACTTGTAGGTTCTCCAGTAGCCTTTGAAGAAATTTTCAGACAGTAACCAGGCCTAGCAGAGCAAGTCTTAGAACTGTTTTTTGCCTTGCTGGGTCCCTGTACAGCTACTGCAGCAGTGAGAAAGGAACACATAGTAAATAAAAATGGATTAACAGCAGAAATCAGTTGCACGGGGAGTTTCCTATTTGGACAGAGCTGATGGAATGTTTTTTGTGTCACCATAAGCTTGAGTTTGCTAGTGGAGAAATCTTAATGCACCTTCCCTAGTTTTCAGATGTTTTGCAGCCATTCTTTCACTAGTCTGCCAATTTCCTTCTATAAACTGAAATTCAGCAGGCACTAAAGTAATTTAAAGGTACTTTTCAACTTCTCCCTCTGTTCTTTAATTGCTGCAGCAGAAATGGGTGGAGAGGTGCTGTTGTTCTCTACAAAGGGAGGAATGTAGACTTTTTTTGCAGTCAGGACAATGCTTCACACCCTATGAATAAATACTACCCTCAGTGATGCTGACAAAATCATGGTACCAGTGAGGTCCCTAGGGAACACTCATTGAAGAGCAGAATACGGTACTTTGCTTATGTTCTTGTCAGCCTAAATCTGATTACTTTGATGGAGTGAAGCAGAGTTGCTATAAATTGTTAGAGATAGGAATCCCAATAGTTATACTTTGTGCTTTATTACATTTACAGAAAAGTCCCATCAGAAGTATGGAGAACCACAAAGCCTGATGATTTTAACCACTTAATTTTCACTTGTTTTCTCTGCTCAGATAATTTGACCTGAATGTTGATACCAAAGCATAAGCTTTATGGAACAACTGTAAACCTGTATTGACTCTTAGGAGACAGTCCACTGTTTCTGATTGCTTTCATTTTCAGAATAATAGCAAGAGTGATGTGTTCATAACCAGCTCCCAATGAGGACTGTAGGTAGCTAGGATAAGCAGTTAAGATGTCAATTCCTTTTTGCTTTTCCTCACTCTCTAGGAAATAATAAACTGCTTCAATCTGTGTAGTCAAATAAACACATTAGTACTGAAAGTATTCAACAGTCTCTTTGATTGTTTGTGTCACCAAAATGAAAACTTACTAAAGATGCAAGGGGCTAGATTGTCCCAGGTGCTGTTGATCCTTATAGGCCATTAGGGCAAATGTATGTTTTGCTCTGAAAGCTCTGAAAGGAGCAAAGGCTATTCCCACTTTTCGAGGCTCGCATCTTGCAGCATCAGCTTGAATGTGGCGGCTGTAAGAGTAAGTTCTATGGCTCAATCCAGGAACTTCCTGCAGCAGATCAGATTGCTTTCTGCCAGCTGTCTTAGGTGTTGGGAGCCACACACTGCATTCTCTTTGTATTCAAACAGACTACTGCATTAGGTTCAGTTTTTTCTCATTACATGAAAACCTATAAAGTCTAGAGCAAAGCAATACAATGATTTTCGAAGTTACATTTTATTAGGAACTTCTAATACTTTCAAAACAAAACCTTACACACAAACACATAAAATCTTAAAAATTAACAAGTTGTGTGAATTCAGTTTCCTATTAATATAAATGCAAGGCATTTGTGCTTGGGTAAAGTGTAAGTACATTCTCTGTGAGTGTACAAACTGATTTATTATTAAAAAAACCAAGACTTGTATGCCAGAAAACATATGGCTTCAAAAGATTTCATTTCATATAGTTAAAAATGTCAGCAGCTTACACTGAAATATGCTAGAACACTGAAAGTGTGTTTGTTATTGGCAAGGACAACAAATATATTTGTTATATATTATAGTAAAAAAATACAAAACAACAAAAAATTGCCAGCAGAGTGTTAGAGTTTCCCAGAGAGATTTGTCATAGTGAATAATTGCACTTAACCTGTAGGCTGTTACTAGTAGCTAATACTATTTTGTTTATTATTTCAAAATAGTTATAATTTCCTTAACAAAATCCGTTCTGTACCCAACACAAAACATTCACTGAATGCAGATTTAAGATTACACAATATTGGATTTTAATTGTGCACCTTTGCTTTCCCCTTTCTCCTATATACCAGAGAGGTTTAAAAAAATAAAAAAAGGCATTAAAATGAATGATCTGTGCAAAATGGGAAGCCTTTATATAATAACTGATACCTCATGCAAAAGAGAAAAAATATTAAAAAAAAAAAAAAACAGTCTAAGAAGCCCTGAGTCAATAATTTCATTGCAAAGGTGAGGAACATGAGTGCTCTGAGTTCTTCCTATACATTGGTGCATATTCAAATCAGTCCAGTATTTACTTAACACATATTTTAAAATAGGCAGTTTGTGCAGTTTCTCACATACAAATCTTCTACGCGCTTCACTCCTTTCAGCAGACTGTATTTAATATTCAATTTCGTTTAAGCTGTCAGGATAGCCTGATGAGAACTGAATTTCTTCCACTTCTAGAACAGAAAGAAGGGGGAAATATTGTAATTATTTGTATTTTTATCAGACACAATTGGATTCATGCTGGATTCAAATGGGACTGCCATGCGGTTTTTAAAAAGTGTTCCAGCATCTTTACCAGTCCAGTTCTGAGAATGGTTTCTCATCAGAAAACAAAAATTCTCCACTAACCCAGCAGCATGATACTAAATTCAGATCCATTGAGTGGGGATTCAAGGGAAGAAGTATCACTCGTCTGATTACAAAAAGTACAGGGAATTGCTCAGTGTATTGTAAGAGAAACAAAGTATGTTTAAACTTACCTAAGCAGGGTCCTGCCTGGAACAGAATATCATCAATAGCAGTGTCACTTCTCACTGACACACCACGGATCACCTCAAAAATAATCTGTAAAGACACAGCTTTTCATGGATCACACAGGAGGAAGGACTACAAAAAAATTATACCCATGCAGTCTGTTCAAGGATCTACTGTGTCCTGAAAGCCTGCTTCTTGGAAAGAAGCTTCTATGCTCCATCAGTGGACTGATTGCCCTGGTCAGAGAATTTGGGTGTGTGCTATGCTGAAGGAAGTAAATGTGTCCTCACAATTTGTTAAGAAACTGTTGTGTTATAGGCCACTGATAAATGTTCTCACATGGCGTTTCTATCTTGCTTTCAGCAAAAATGTGTTGCTGTGTGTTGCCCATATGCAAGCAAGACCTGACAGGAAAAAAAGGCATTACAATATTATGTCGTGGTCTTACTGATGAAGCTAAACTTGCTGTTCAGTAAAAGGTTTCTCTTTTTTTTTCCCCCCTCCCCTCCCTAATTAATTTCCAGGCTTTTAGGGCAAAGTAATTAAAAAAACACCACACGACATCTTTGGCTAGTGATCAGTGCAGTTTTGTGCCCAGTGCTGATTCAGTCAGTAGCAATTTCAGCTTCCACTTTGACGCAGAGATTGAAGCATGCTTTGTCACGGGCAATACTGAAATGATGGCAGCTGAAACCAAAGACAGAGCTCTGGCTTTGAACCATCCTTTGCCGTTGGTATCACCTCAGAAAAACCATCCTGCAAGAAGCAGCCATTTTATCACAACTTAGTGGTTATGTCAGGGCTTTAGACAGCTGGAGGAAAAGAAATTGCACAAATTTATCTAAATAAAAACTACCACCACTGACAAGAAATTATGGGGAAACAGCATTTAAATACTTTAATTTTTTAAAAAAATAATGAATTAATTAACTATTTTCATACTTGCAACCTATTAGAGTCTTTAATAATTCCCTCCCTACTTTAATTTGTAAGAAATGGCATGCTGCTTCAGCTTGTTCATATGTCCATTCAATGCTATCTACGTTTTAACACTTTAGTTTTTTTCTGATACAACCCCAATCTTGGATTCTGGCACATAGTTCAGTATTCCATTTTGACTGCTTTTTGTTTGTTTTTTCTTACCTGGTAGTTTCTGTCACTTTCATATTCTATCAGTCCCCTTAGCCATGAGATACTTTGTTCCCCTGTCCTCCTCCACAAAGGAATCTCTTCATCATCACCTTCCTTTTTTAGATAAACACTTAATAATCCAGTCCCAGCTCCATACATGTGATAGAAAAAAGTTAAGCACTGTTTTCCAGGGGTTCCTCTTAGTGATCTTGAAACTAGGTATGCTCTCTGCCCGTAGACCATGTTGGATGCCTCTATATACATGTAGTATCCTTAAAAAGATATACAAGCAAATATTAGCAAAGTAGAATATATTCTTCCAGCATGTTCATTATGCTCAACACACTCATTATATAAAAGACTATGACTGAAACTATTTTGATAAAGATTTTTATGCCATAAACTGTTACATTTGTGAACTAATACTTATGATATTGTAATAATTGTGTAGTGTAATGTTGGTAATATTTGTGAATGCTAATATAAGAACACTTAAAAGCCTGTTTATATCTGATGAAATACCTAGCAACAGAAAGGAACACAAAGTAAGAAAAAAATCACAGCTGTTCTTAAACCAGGAATGCACTGTAACAGTGGTTGATTAACTGGAATTCAGAGACAGCTGCCTGTACATCTGAGGGTACAGTTTAGGCAATGGTTGGGCCTGATGCTATTAACAAAGCAAATTAATTGAAATACCTCTTTTAAATCACATATGGCATCAACAGTATTTTTCTTTCTGTGATCAAGATGTGAAGACACAAGTGAGGAAAACTAGAATCTCTAGAAACCATGAAAGAATGAAAGCGTGTCATGAATGCTGATCTGTGGAAAAATTATCAATTAATTGGTGGCAGGCAAGTTAATTTCCACCGCTCACCAAGTCCATCATTCAGTTATTTCAAACTGGAGCAAACTGAGGTGTGTCAGAAGGCTGAGGAGCATCTCCGTGTCCCATCTGCTGCATATGGCAGCTGATCTCTGTCTTGCGATGTACGCTCTGCCAGCAGGCAGTGAACTCAGATTTTGCAGCAGCCCTTCTTGCAGTCCCACAACTCCCTTTTTGTGGTGTTGGAGAGTACAAGCTGTCCTTCTGCCACCACAAGTACTGGTGGTGAGATTGCCCTCAGGGGGAGAGGGGATTCCTAAGGATCAGTGAGGCAGGAGAAAAGCTGAGAGTGGCAAGAGCAGCCGGTGGATGCTTGGCGTGTTTCTCATGATACTATTATCTGCACAAACCCATGCTGAAGGCATCCCCTCTAACCCAGGTTGTAGTTTGGTGGTGAGCAGCAGCAGAGAAAAGGGGTGAAAACAAAGATTATCTATAGCTGTAAGTCTATAAAGAAAATTTCATACAGTGTGTTGGAGAATTCCCAAGGCTATTTATAGCAAACCTAGTGCAAGCCATTGCAAGGATTTTGATGTTTAGTATGCTAAAAAGTTCTTTGAGGTAAAAAATCAAAACCTACAGCTCATACTACAGTATAATAACATAACTTGTCTTTAGTTCTAAGGCATGAATCACATTACAAACTTGCTAAAAAGACTAGATCAGCTCTTGGTTTTGTGAATTCAAATCCACATATTTCTCAGCACATCTTGCTGCAGAGATGCGTGAAATAAGGAATAAACATTGTTGTCACAGGCTAGGCTTAAAAGATTCTCTTGCTTCACCAGTTCTAAAGTTGAGCTATCAGCCTCTGATCTCAGAATACTCAGTGCTCTACATAAACTGAAAATAAGTCTAGTCGGCTTCTGCCTTAGAAATAAAGAAAATTGCGCTAACAGCTCATTCCTTTTCTTGAGCAAGAAACTCTTTGAGTGTTGCTCCTACACCAAGGAGAGGATTATTGTCCTTGGAAACTCTATTTTCCTATTGTCCTTGGGACAGAGGGTATTTGAAAGAGGAAGAATATAATATATTATCTAGGGAATAACCAAGGGGGAAAAAACCATCAAACAAACCTGAACGTTAAATCCTTTTACGGAACTTGAGTTTGGTTACCTACCAAAACAACCAGCAACTTCAACATTATGTAATCCATTTGGATTATGTTTTGTAGGAAGAGAAGGGTCTGACAGACAATACAGAGATGGCCTACAGAAGCCTCTCCAAGAGTCTCACCCACATTTTAAAGTAAACATTCTCAAATGAACTTTTAAAACCATTAGGAAAAATTCTCACTTATTTTAAAGCTGGTGATCACATGTCTAGTTGATGCAGAAGAACTGGACAGCATGGATAACAAAGACTTACAGACAGTATGTCATTTAATTCACTGTAATGTAATTAATTTTTAAATGGAATAGGGACAAGAATTTAAATATTCCCTTTTGAAAGTCATTCCACAGTATAAAGCTATCACTATTGGGAAAATGTTGATTTGTAGATAGCCTACATTTTCCACTTAGATAACTTTGCCAATAGATCTGGTCAGAATATGGCCAGATTTGTAAGTAATGTTTCTTAGTTTCATTTCATAACACATAAGAGAAGTTTTAAGCTTTAAAACATACTTATCTTTGAATTCTATTCATATTTCTACCCAGGATCAGTATTGTTTAGAATTAACAATGGGAAAATCATCATTTCTTGGTGATCTGAAATTGCAAGCCAAAGAGAAACAGTCTTATCTGCATTCTCAATTCCACATGTAGGATTTTGACCATACAGTCCCACACACCATGAATTTACATCTTGCTAGTCAATTTCCGTGCCTTGTTCAGGTTGCAACTATTGCAGAAATTTTACCAGGGGATAGGAAAGGGAGATTTTGCTGAATGTGTACAAAGCCATCTTTTTAGATAAAGAGATCAGAAACAGACCAAAACATTTGTTATTTTATTAACTAGAAGCATTTGTTATTTTGTTAACTGGAAACAAAACAGTTTTCTAGAGTAACTTGAATTAAACTTGTATAGAGAGAGACTTTGTAGACACAGCTGAGATAACTATGTCTGATCATGCTTAACTTGGTTTACACTCAATTACAGTTGACCTAATAATAATAATAGCCTTTGGTGAGCCTTTTGAGCAGGCCAACTGCTTTTGTAATCCAGCTAAAATTTTTAACAGACTGGATACAAGGCTACTGTGAATAAGCCAGCTTGTCTGAAAACTGACTTTCTAACTTGCTGAATGAATTTTAACCACTGTGAAGGACGGCAAATCCAAAGGCCTTTTTAAACCTACATAAGCATTTGAAGTTCACAAACCTTAGGGCAGTTTCATCCATTATACTGATGTCAGTGGAGTTGTAAGTTTCTGAGGTCCTCTTGGGCAGAAACACAAACACCCAATGCAGTGATGCAGTTCCTCATTTCCAAAGGTCACCAGGTTCTGCCCCAGTGTGGGGGCAATTCTGATGCAGTTTTCTCTGCGCTTGCTCATGCTAATGGGAACCTCACTAGCCTAAATACTTAAAATTATGTAAGTAAGGTTATGGAGCAGATTTTCAAAACAAAGGGGCTGTGGGACCTCTTATTATCCATGTTTTCTTCCAAGTTTGAACGGGAGGGTGTTGATGCAGAAGAGCCCCCAACCACTTGCTTGCCTTTTTGTTTCACGGAATATTCACATAAGCTAGGGGTTTGGAAGAAGGTTTTTCTGCAGGGTCTGGAGAGTCTTCTTGTCCTTTTTTCTCCCAAAGGGAAAGGCTGCTTTAGGACATGAAGACCAAATTACCCACTTGGTTTGCAGATAATTCAGATTAAACATCACATTCTCAAAGCCATCCTTGAGTCCCTAAGTAATATGTTTATTTCACTTGATGAGTAACTATTCTGAACAGAACAGTAAAAACTTTCACTGTGTTCTAGGTTATAATTTCAAAGTATTTTTTGTTAACCATCAATCTCTGTTCTAAAAATTTAATGTGGAGCTTAACTCACCTACCCCAGTAGTGTGGTCTCCTTTTGGTCCGGTGTAAGAAGTGGGAGTTGGACCCCTCCTCCTGTGCCAACTCCCACGACCTCTCTTCTTCTGGGTAAACACACACTCATCTTTTTCAAAAGTACATTCACCAGGATTGGGCAGCAATAGATCTATAAGGAGAGAACATAGTTGAAAAGCACAAATATATTAGACAGCTATCTGGAGAGATCACACAACCCAATTGTACTGGGTTCACTCCCCTGCTGAAATCACTTATGTGTAACTAGCAATACTTAACAGTAGTCACAAGCTTAAAAAAGCTAACTTCAGACTGATGTATGAAATTTAATTTCATTTTCTTCACAGCTTTGGGGAAATCTGTGCCCTGGTCTGGCTCACTAACATGTACTAATATTCTTTAAAACATCTCATACAGTTTATTATCTCATCCTAGCTCTTAGTCCACAATGGACTCTACCAATGTAATTTTCTTCACTACTGTGGCACCCCAAGCAGTTTAATGAGCTCCAACGTGTAGAACATGCATATTAAATGAGTCTTGTCAAAGACTGGAGTTTCTGTGATCTGAAATCAAATGCCACATTTAGCTCTCTTCTGTTCCCTTGGCACCAGATTCTCATACTGCACACAACAGACCACTGAGCTGCAATTACTAGAGTATTTTCATTATTTCAATTCTACTAGATTATGCAGAAGAGAGAAAAGTTGACAATTCAGGTACTTGCCAGGAAGCTTCTGTCAACTCTTCTGCTATAATCTGACTTTGTAGTTCAGGAGTAGACACTCTAAGCTGCTTCCACCTTTTGGAATGGAGGAAGCTTTGATGCCTCACATAGTCTGTGGCATTTTTTTGAGCATTTTTTTTGAGCCATCAGTGAAAAGTCCTCATACACCCAAGTGTCAGTTGTGCACTTTTGGTTCCTTTTCAAATTACTTAAGAACTACACAAAGGCAAAACAGATTCTAGAAATACTTTAGAAAAATGTTTTATAATCTTGTTTTATACATGTGACTTCTCTCTGTTCTGTAATGGATAGCCACCTGAATGCATGAAATCAAATCAAAAGAGGTAATTAAAAGGTTCTTACTACATGGGAATATAAATGGCATGGTAGATCAGCCTCATCACCATTTCAAAGGCAAGGCTTTATTCCAAAGGAGAATGGGATTATAGATTGTGGCTGTCTCATGAGAATGGTTTCCAAATTAGGATATGATCATTGCATTGTCAAACCTCAAAAAGCCCCAGAAGAGGGAGTTTGGGTGAGTTCAGAGAGGTTAGCCTGTGCATGTCAGAGGGTAAAGTCTCACTTAAAAACATTCAGTTCCTCCCACTACAGGAGGGAGAGGTAGACTCATCTGTCTTCATTAGAGAACTGCAACTCGGATAAGGGACTGTGTCTTGGCCTTGCACAAAGGTACTTCTGGACTAAAAAGAATAATGCTGTGTTTTGAAAATATTGCTTTCGGGTCCATTCCTGGTTTCCTAAAAGCCACTTGAAAAATACTTTTCCTTCAGTCAGACTGTTGTTTTTTTAAAAATTGTAATACCCCAAAAGGAATGCTCACCTATATACAGCTGCACCAGAGTCAGTGAAGTTAATTAAGAGTTAGCTGGCATTCCTTGTGAACCAAAACTGGTCCTCGTTGTATGTATGCTACTGCAAAAACAGGATTTATGCAATACTCATTGGAAAAAGAAAAGAAGAAAAGAAACCACAGTGGGATGAAGGCAGCTGCAGGATAGGCTTGGAAAATGAAGGTATGCAATGAACTCATAAAAAGGGTAGCAGCTATTGGACGACAAATATACATGGTCTTACCAGCAGCCTGGCAGCTTCCCAAGCTCAGGGATATATCATCCAGGGCAACAAGTCCACAGTCCCAGAAGCTTTTACACCAGCTGACAAAGACAACCTGCAATACATGAAGGAAGTTTCAGGTACCTAACAAAATCTGTCACTGTTAAGAGTCTGAAATTTCAGATTTTTCCAAAAGCACTAATAATTTTGACATCTACGGAACAGAAATGATGAATCCACTTTGCTTTGGCACACACTAATACTGCCAATGACTAAAATTTCAAATCCAGTGGGGGTTAGATGTATGTTTTTGTTCAACAGAAGGTGTTTTCTCACTTTTACAGGCAAATTATGTATCTCTGTATATAGTTTCCATCTTATTAGGAGAGTGTGTATTTTTAGTGTATAAGAAAACATGACTCACTGAGGCTGTTGTGGTTTTTCCTCCCCCAAAGAAAAACATGAACAGCTCAAATGTCCTCAGCTATCTTATCCTTACAACCAGAAGGTTTTATCCATGGAAAAATAAATTTGAAAGAGTAATGCAAAGTGATGGCCAAGAGAAATGGCTGTGTCAAAAAACCAAAGAGCAATAGAGATGAGATTAAACTACTGCATAAAATGGGATTATTCAGAAATGACACAAGGCGATAGTATCAGAGTAGGAGGCTGGAAAAGCTAAGCATCATTCACAGCGTTCATCTGGGTTTGTGAAGATTAGTAGCGTCCAAGGTGTTTTATTTGACTACACATTGATTCTGCCACAGAAAACACAAGTCACCCATGAAATAACAAAACAAAATGTAAAGAAACTGTAAGATTCCCAGCTGCCATTCTCCCAAGGTTGACACAGAATTGACTGTTGGTATTACAGAAGACACAATAAGGTTTATTTTGTGAAAATACTGGTGGCAGTTTTCTTTGCGTAACTACTGCAAACCATCTGTCTGACTACTGGGGTTATGGCCATAATTTGGGAGGAGCTTTTCAAAACAATTCCTTTGTGATGAGGTCTCAGCTAGTGACTGGAGACAGATGAGTGTCACTTCTAAAGAAAAGTTTAATATTCTGGAACAACTGTAAACACCTCAGTTACATATTTGAGGTTAGATGCTGACTGACAGTTTCATGCAGATACAAAAAAGGTAGTTAAAAGTCATTCATGTATTAGTTAATATATCCTTTTTTAACAGGCTTGGTAACACCTTCACTATGGTCATTATACTGGATTTTGCTAGATTGCTCTGCTAGGCAGTGTTTATTTACCCGTCTGCTTATAAAACAGCCTGGGATGTAACTACACTTTGGAGCATGTACAGATTATGCTGCCCAGGTTGGAGCAATTTTCAAAACCATTTTCCATTCAGTGCTACCAATCCTGGTAATAGTGATTATCTGTCTTATAAACTGTTACAGGTGTGGCCTTGAGGAGTGCCCCTGCACAGCATACTCAACTGCAGTGTATAGTGGCCTAAAACTGTGAAAACTGGCGCTTTTTTTTTTTTTTTTTTTTTTTCCCTATAGAGCTGCTGTCTTAGTCTTAAGGTTCAATAGGACAAAAATTGTTAAAAATTGTTTCCTGCTTTGTAAGTTCATTCTCAGGAAACAGGCTAGTCTATTAAAAAATGGTAGCCCCTCTTGGAATAAAGAATAAAATAAATACAATAAATACAATAAATACAATAAATACAATAAATACAATAAATACAATAAATACAATAAATACTGACGTTGGGCAGACGTAATTCACCAGAGTTTTAATAAATGCTGTCTGGTGAACACTTGTAATAAACTAAAGGCATATTATAGTCCTAAACACAAGAATCTTCAGAAAACCACACATGAAAGAGTGAGGTCAGTCCTTATTTGTGAAAAAAACATTTCCACACTGTGGAATCATGTTGTAGTGATGTTTTCCTATTGACATCATTGGGAGCAGGATCAAGTTCTTTATTCTTAAATTGCAATAATTTGTTCCATACAAGGTTGTAATTAGCCATTGGATCCTGCAGAAAGCCCTCCATTTCAAAAGCATCACAACAATAACTGTTGGTCTCGCAAAGGCCACTGAACCAGCAGCCTTTGTACAATCAAAGGACTGATCTGTTTCAGGGACACTTGTAAATTTGTTCAGCTTTGTCATCTGTAGCTTTGGCATTACTAATTCTCCACTTGCTTTATGTGGTGTTGAGTGACACGCTGCCATGAACAGCCTTGATAATTGCACAGGGGTGGGGTGGGGGAGGTTGTGCTTGGGAATGTGGAGATTCCAGTATTAGCTACAGTAAATTTACTGAAATTGTTCATTGTGCCCTCAACTTATTTTCTTGTTATATTCTTGATTCAGTTTTAAGCAACAGAGTAGAACATATTTTTATTCACAAGTCAGATTTATTCACTCTTCTTTTGCCCTAAATGTCCTTTTTTGTCATAGAGGGACATCTTTGACTATTTGAACTTTACCTACCAAAATTGTATCAATTTGGATTTACTTAGCTACTCATTTTCACCTTACGTCAGACCTTTGAATCCTTTCTACAGTCTCGATAGGACTAATCTCATGATGCTTTACATTTGTTCTTGTTTTGAATGAAAATATTTCCTAGCTCAGTTCTTCCAAAATAAATTTTTATGAAGTCATCTCATGCTTTGGAGAAGAGAATAGGGGGATCTTTGTTCTCAGCTCACACTTTCTTCATAAAACATGACAGATGAACAACATACTGATTGTTTCAAACTAGATAACAAATCCTCCTGGACTTGCAAGCTATCTGGAAAGCTAAATTAAAAACATTATCAAATGCAGGCAGTTGTTGCCTGTGTTATTGAAAAATAAAACATATTTTCCTCTCACGTCTCTCTTTGTTCCAGTAACAGGACACAGCCTGGGCATTAGTTTCCTTCCAAATATTTGCCCCGATTTTTGGAAGCTGGTTTGTTTATTTTTCAGTGCTTAATCAATGTTCCTGGCCTGCAGCCCCAAAGTATCAATAATCAGCTCTTAGCATTTATCCGGGATTATATCGGTAATGAGCGACGCCAGATGAGAACAGCTGGTAGAGAAAGCAGGGTTTCACTTTCTCCCATGACAAGTTGTTGCGTTGTGCAGCAGACACTGAGTGGGGTAGAAGGGACTTCTTTAGCACTCAGCATCTCTACAAGTAGATGAGAATTAAAACATATGCATATGAAGTTTACCTGCTTTTGGAGAAGAAAGAGCAGGACATGGGGTAGGGTACCTCTATCAAGAAGTGTAAGGAAGGATTGATGGGGAAGCTTGTAAAAGGAGGTTTGGAGGGAGCTGGCCTGAGAATAGAAGAAAAGAAGAGAAGATGCCTCTGGATCCCTATGGGTTCTGTGTATTTTATTTCCTACTGGTTTATCCCAGAAAATATAGCTCTTGCCCAATTAGAGAGCCAGATCAGCCAAACAAAAGAAAAACTCTGACAGCAGCCAAATCTGGTGACTTAAACTAAAGCTATGCCTCTGCAGCAAATTAATTTACCTGAATCCACCTTAGTGAGTATTCCTAGGTTTAAACTACATACTGTGTATCAGTGTAGACACAAATCTCAGTCTGTCACTTAGACGCATGTTTAGGTTCAATTTCTTAAAGGAGAAAGGCAGTTATAGTGGAGTCTGTGGCGAGTTTTTATGAAAAGCAACTGTTGTAATTTCCATACAGTGACACAAAACTCAGTACTACAAAGTTAAAAAATTGAGCACCAGAAACAAAAGTCTGACATGACTCAAAGAAGCAGTCTAGATGTTTTCACAAAACAGGGAGCCCAACTTTTCAGTCAGTTACGCTAGGACACAGCCATATAAACAGGTAAGCCAGCGACTCGTCACTGGCACAGGGACTGGGAGAACCATTCTGATTGTCCCAGGGCTGTTCGATACAAACATTATCAGTGTAGCCCCAATTACTTTTAACTGGTTTAATTAAACTAGATTTTAAATGGCTTATTTTTCTTTGGCTTAAACAGTCAGAAACTCATCTATCAAGAACTCAAGTAAGCTATTAAGCCAAAATTAGAATAATAAAATGTAAACTTCTGTCATTTACAATAAATTGATTTAAAATGGCAACTCGCCAGGTAAGTTCAATTTCTTGCCATGTAAATACAATGAGCTTCTGTGGGAAAAGTAATGGATTAAGAAAGCTTCTACGTAAATAATTGTATAACACTGGTAACAAGCTTGTGACATTTGAACAAATATTTTTAAAAATCTTTCCTTTCCAAGGGCAAATGGGTTGCAGAAACAAACAATGAAAGAGAAACAGAAAGCTAACAGAACAACCTAGGGCCACAGGCTGTTAGTGCTACATCTATACCCATTGCATTGCACTGTCTAGTAGAGAAAACTGCCTGCACATAAATGTACACAGGACACTGATGTACCCAGGGCCCTCCTAGATTTCCAGAAATCTGCTCTGATGGCTCTGTCCTTTTTTCAGTGAAACAGTTTCCTTGACTCTTTTTATACGAGGGAAAAAGGTTCTTGCCTTTAGAGTGAGAAATCTTGTCAGATGACGTGGCATTGTAATATCACAATATTAAGTACTCAGGAAAAAAAATGAGCAAAAAAGGGGAAACGGTGGTTAAATATCACAGATACCAAAAGGAGGTAGGTAATATTTCATGCAACATATCTCCTTGCTTAGCTACTGTGAAGATGCAGGCCACTTACATAACGCCTTCTAACCCGAATAATACAGTTTCCAGTATGTCATTTCCACAACCATATATCAAACACCACAGTGGGGCACATATTTTGCAAGCACTAATCCTACTATTTAGAGACCCCGATGTTCTTATTTTAAATAGGTGTTTCCAGTGACTGTTCTTTAAAAAAATTCTGGGTTTACAGATCAGAGAAGGAAGGACAGAAGGGCCATATTAAAAAACCAGCTCATTCCAACCTCTTTAGGCTGCATACCTTATTGTGGGAAAGCTGATCAAGGGTTGCGTCAGAACAGTACCAAAAAGCTTCTTTATTTGACAGAAGTGAGGATTTTTCAGAGGAGCAGGAGGAGGAGGAGGAGGAGGAGAGGACTAGGGTGTCTGTCCTCTTCCACTTGATACCTGACTGGAAAACTGTGTCCTTTAA